TGCCACCCCCTCGGGGACTCCCTTCCTTCACACAGCCCTACCCAACTTGGCTCTGATTTACTTCTTTCTCGCCCCAGTAAACAGCATACCTCAGAGCGGGTGCGGCTGCCTCCCCTGCATCTCACAGCTTCCAGCCGCACATCTGACGCAGTGCTGATCTCCCTGTGTGGGGACATCCCTGCCTCATGCCTGTTTGTGCCACTCTACAGCACAGCGCTGGCACACGCGAGGTGCTCAGCCCGTGGTTACGGGGTGGCTGATGAAGGAATGGATAGCATCTAGCTATTTTCAGTTGCATGGAGAGACTGGGCCAGTTATTATTTGGCTGCAGCTGCCTCACAAAAGAGAAATGGTTCTCTTTCATCTTTCCCACAGTGTGGGTCGTGATATTAATGTAGCCTGTGGCTTTCACCAAATATTTGTGGCTTCAGAGTCACCTTGTTCGAAGGCATTTCTGGAGGCTTTGGCTGACACTGTAATTCCTGAACTGACAATTGGTGTGAGATGACTGGGGGCTGGAGCAAGCTGGGATGTGGTGGTGTCTTCATCAGTAAACTGCCCAGCCACCAAAGAAATGGATCATTTCTGGGAGGTCTAGGAGGACACACAGTGAGATCCCTTAATGCCATGGAAGGTGCCAGGACGATGTACACGTCCACGGCTCTGTGGCTGGGTCCTTCTTCTCTGAAGCTGCTGCTGTCCCAGATCAACCTGTGGCAATCCACAGCCTGCCTGCCATTTGGGTGGCCCTTGCAATCAACTCTCCAGGAAGATTCTTTCATCTTCTTCCAACTGCTTCTGTTGCTAAAAGATCTAGAGGGTCCCACAAGATTACTCATCAAATGGCTCTCCTGGGACCCTTCCTTAGCATGGACCTTCTTGCCACAAAGAGAAAATAGTCAAGCAAAAAATACCTATGGATTCCTCCACACCTGAGGTTGGTTGGGTGATCTTTCTTTAAATCTCTCTTCTTTCCTAACCCAATAAAATCCTATTTTTTTGTCTAGAATGCCTACTTTAATTTAATCCCCATCTGACTCGTGGCCTAAGGGCTAAATAAGGCAAGCAGATTTTTTTTTTTTTGATTCAGAACAGGATCTTTAAAAAACAGAATATTTTTAGGCAGGGTATGCATTTTCCAATTGTCACAGTTCCCACCAGCTTCTGCCACATTGTACAGAGTGTGAGAAGCACGGCAGTGATTGCCAGTGTGGTGTGAGGCCAGACCTCACGGGTCTACGTTCAGGAAGCTCCCTGTTACTAGCTGTGCACCTTGACCTCTCTGTACTCCAGCTTCATCTGTAAAATGGGCAGCGTCAGTATCTTTATCATCATCATCATGGTACCTACTTAATAGGTTTGTCATGAGGATTAATACATCCAAGTGTTTACGGTATACGATGAATATTTATTTGGACACCTACTATAAGCCAGACCATATTAGGGACAAGGGATGCATGAGGGAACAAAACAGACAAATCTCTGCCCTTATGGCCCCTATAGCCTGGCAGAGGCATGGGAGAGACAGATTTTATAGTAAGCATCATGATAAAGGCTACAGAAAAAGACGAAGCAGGAAAGTGAGGGTACAGTGCTTGGCTGCAGTTAAACTAGGGTCATTAGGGAGGCCTCACTGAGAAGATGGCCCTCCAGGAAAGACCAGAGGGAGGTGAAGAGTGAGCTGCATGGAGAACCCAGGGAGGAAGAGTGTTGAGCCAGATGGAACAGCAGCCACAGAAGTTTCGAGACAGCCCATCATGTTTGAGAAAATGTCAACAATTTTTATTGTGACCTGCCAGGATCCCCTACTGACAGTGCTATCAACTTTTGTTGAAGGTGCCTATGGAAACTGATCTTGTGACTCTGGTCTTGATTGGCTAAAGGCTGAGGGCATAGAGAGAGCATGGGCCACGTAAGAGAGACAGCCGGGAGTCGAGCATCTCTTCTTCCTGAAGGCAGAGACCATGCCCCCAAGCCTGCGCTCGGCTGACACCATCTGTAACTGTTGGTGCGTGCAGTGTATGCATGAAGGCAGTCTTGTCCTGGCCTGCAGGGGCTGGAAGAGAGTAAGGAATAGTGATGGAGACGGGTGGAGTTGAAATAAACCAAAGACATCAGGAGGCTTTGCCTTTGGGCCCCATGTTTCTAGCGGTGCTGATGATTCTAGGCCAACAGTTGGTAGCTTTAAAGGGAGTTTTGTTTCCAGGTCATTAGAAACAGTCAGTTGGTTTAACTGCAAGGCCAGCTCCTAATTTGATGCACATCTAAGCAGATTGGAGACATTTTTGCCAGAGTTGCTATTTTCGCAGGCAACAATTTGTGTGCCCACCAGGAAACCAGGTTTGGTATGAAAATAGAGACTTCCCCTGACATTTAACATTCAGGAGTCAGCAGTAGCTGGCTTTCTAACTGAGCTGCTGCTTGTGTGGAAAACAGGCTGAAAAATGGGTGGGGAAGAGAACAGTGGCTTCCAAGGACGTGTGCTATTTGCAGACACAAGAGGAATAACACTCCGGTTGAGCTCTCAAGTGAAATGAGGATAACAACACCTGACCCACATGGTTATGGTCAGGATTGCATGGGATGGCCTACAGAAAAGTGCCAGGCACATCACAGGTGCAGGGAAATAACAGTTCCTTTCCTCGTCTCCTCTGGACCCCACGAGACAGCTCCCTGAAGGCTGATCGTCTCTCTCCCACTAAATCGGGATAGAGAAGAGGGTTTTCTCCCTGTGAGAAGTAAGCCCTGGGAGGGTAAAGCGTGGAGGGAAGAAATCCAGCAGGAAGCAATAGTCGGGTATTTGGGGTCTTTAGATAAGCAGGGCCAGGCAGCTGGACCCCATCCTGAGAATGAACTGTCGTGGGAGCTGCAGGTGGGCACAGCCGCCCCAGCCCTCCTGGAGGTGCTTCCTGCCCACGGCTGGTTGGTCCCCCAAGTGCAGGCAGCACAGTGAAACCAGACACAGCACAGTTTCAAGTATGCAACTGCCAGGTATGACAATCACAAGTCACAGCTGGCAGGTGGATCAGTGTGGTGACTGCTCATGTTTTCTGTTCTCTCAATTTTGTTCTTGTTTTCAAAAAGTAGCCCAGCACATTTAAGGTTCACACAATCTGTGTAACTTCGATTGCAAATACCAGGACCGCATCTCAATAAGCAAAACAAGGAATTTATTTTCTAAGAATCCTAAGACACGTAGAACAACCAAGGCTCAAGGATGTGGCTAGAGCAAGAGACTCAAATGCCACCTATTATTTTGTTCTGTTTATCTCTGCCTATCTCTTCGTGACTGCAGTCCCGCTTAGTGGTAACATGACTGGCCATAGCTTCCCCTATGAGAGGGAGTCTGACCTTGATTTTCTCGAGGCCCCGTTAAAAATTCCTGGGGAAGAGGTTCATTGATTCAGCATGAGTCAGAGACCATCCCTGGATTAGCTGAAGTCAGTGGAGTGGGGACATGCAAGAATCAGGACACTCTTGCCTTACTGCTGAAAGCAGGCTGGGTGGACCGTTCTACGGATGTCCACAGCTTATATCTAACAAGGATATTAGATGTTTTGTGAGGGTTGGTAGCCACCTAGGGGCTGATGTCACTTCTTCAGCAGGGCACAACCCACATCTTTAGATGGCTGGAAAAAGAGCCTGGCTAGGAGGCTTCCCCAGGGGGAAGGGAAGTGAGGGGCTCCCGGTGCACGGGTAGCCTCCCCTTCAGGCATCTTTCTACTCCTGTCCCTCCCTGTGTCCCACTCTCACACCCCACTCTGTGGTGGCAGGTATCTCTGTGGGTCGTCCTGGCAGAGTAAGCAGCAACACATGGGTGGGTGCTAGCATTTCAGATACTTTGGCTGGCAGAGTTCTTTCCCTGCTGTACCCTTCCCATGCCCCTCTTCCTCCTCTCCCAGTAGGTCCTTCCTTGTGGAAAAATAGCTCTTCGAGTAGTAGAAACGGATCTTGGTTCTAAAGGCAAAAGGGGCAGAAGGGAGGTTCACTGGAATGATTCTGGGGTATCTCATAACCCAAGGAGGTTGTGCGAAGGTCAGAGCAGGGCAGCTCTAGGGCCTCCGTGGTGGGAGTTCATGGATTTCATGGCTTTCATGGTGCTGCTGATCACATGACTCAGCTTTCACTGAGTCAGGCCCCCAGCTGCTCAGAGCTATGCTCCACCTTCCTGGGGAGGGAGTTGAGGGGCCTCACTTTGGTCAATCGTGTACCCTGGATCAGCCAACTAGTGAGATGTCTGGCATATTAGATACCTGGAGTGAATAATTTTGTAACACCCCCCCCCCAACAAAGTTATTTTCAATAATAATCATAAAATACAGTTAATATTAATGATGATGATGCCAGGAAAGAAATGCAAACAGTGAAAAAAATTTATTAACTGTCTATATACAGTCATATTAATAATATATACATAATAAGATACAAAATATGTATTACAGTATAATAAAGGGAAACGTAATAAAATAACACTTTTATTACATTTTCCTTGGAAAAAAGAAAAATAAATTTAGACTTGCATATTGGTCTGTCCCACTAATGAATGATAACAATATATCACAATTTTCATTTTCAGGCTGTAACTATAGCAAACTTGCAAATAATTTCATCAAAATTAGTCTTTGCTCCCCTTTGCTGATGTTCCTGGTTAAAAAAAAATAATAAGCTTTGCATATTTATACTCAATAGTCAATATAACAAGGTGTACCACTCTATCTTTGCTCATACTTTTAATTAATTTTAATTTTAAAAATTTATTTCATATGAAGTAACATACGAATAAATAGAAAAAGTTTTAAACACAAGGATAGAGACTTTGGCAGAAACTCACGAAAATCTCATTTCACAAAAATTTCAAGAAATTACAATGCCATCCATGTTTTCATGTCTTAGGAAGTAATTCTAGTAGCTTTCAAATGCTGACACAGTTAATAAATTTCTTAAGAAAAGTAGAAAATTCATCATTTTATGTGATAATATCATAATGATAATTAAATCATAGTATCTCTTCTTGTATGTATCAAAATTCATACTGAACAGTGAATTCTGGGTTGCAAAAGAGGATTTATTTTTTGCACCAATCTGTAAGTCTTTGTCCACAAGTTAAACAAAAACAAAAACGCAGTCATCATATGTGTTCATTATTTTTAGTTAAAAGTTCCAAATTTTTTTTTCTACAAAAATCAGAATTACAAACAACTTAACAGCAACCTCTCCCCAACCAAATTATCCCATTAAAAATGGGCAAAAGACCCGAGCAGACATTTCTCAAAGGAAGACATACAAATGGTCAACAGGTATTTGAAAAAATGTTCAACCTCACTAATCCTCAGGGAAATCCAAATCAAAACCACAATGAGAAATTATCTCACCTCAGTTAGAATGGCTATTATAAAAAAAAAAAAAGACAAAAAGTAGCAAATACAGATGAGGATGCAGAGAAAAGGGAACTCTTATACACTGTGGGTAGAAATGTAAATTAGTATAGTCACTATGGAAAACAGTATAGAGTTTTCTCAAAAAAACTAAAAATAGTACTACCATACAATCCAGCATTCCCACTACCGGGTATGTATTTGAACAAAGGCAAATCCAAAAGTAAGTATGTCAAAAGGATACCGGCACCCCATGTGCACTATTCAGGAATCAACCTAAGTGTTCATTGATGAATAGATAGGTAAAGAAAACGTGGTGTAGATACACAATGAAATGCTGTCCTGCCATACGAAGGAAAGAAATCCTGTCATCTGCAGCCACATGGATGGAACTGGAGGTCAACATACTAAGTGAAATAAGCCAGGCACAGAAAGACAAATATTTCATGTTCTCACTCATCTGTGGAAGCTAAAAAAGTTGAGCTCGTGGAGGTAGAGGGTGGAATGACGGTTGCCAGAAGTTGGGAAGGGATATTCAGCGGGAATGAAGAGAGGTTGGTTAATGAGTACAAGCATATAGTTAGATAGAAGGAATAAGTCCTAGTGTTCAATATCTCTGTAAGGTGACCATAGTTAATAATAATTTATTGCAGATTCTTAAATAGCTAGAAGAAAACGTGTGAAATAGTGCCAACATAAAGAAATGATACATTTTTGAGGTAATGGATATCTTAAATATCCTAATTTGATCATTACACATTGTATGCATGTATCAAAATATCACATATACCCAATAAATATGTACAGTTATATTTCAATAAATACATCAGCATTCATGTCTGAATATTAGCAAGCACTAATATTATTCTACCCATTGCTTTAGATCAGATGTCCAGTTCTTGGTGATAATGATGAAGATATTTATGCATTGTTCTTTTGATTTTTGCTGGCAGCATAAGACCAGTATCTTTTGTCATTTCTCCTGGCATTTACAGAATGATGGAATTAAAGTAACTCAAATTCTGTTTCTTCATTTCTGTAATCACTGTGATATTGCTGCTTATTTTGAATCTACTGTTTAGATGCAGGAGTATGTGGCACCATGCGGTTGGGCACATGAAGTGAGCTCGAATGATTTTCAAACCATCAGGAACTTACTCAAAGCAAACATGCGTGGCTGAGTGGCTGAGTCCGTGTGCATTGAGGCGTGACTGTGTAACTGGGAGTTTGAATTAACTTCTAAGTAGAATGCAAGCTATAAAGGAGAAATAATTTTTTAAAAAAGTGCTAATTTGAAGCTTACATGCGTAGTATTAAAACTCAATGGTAACAAAACAGTGGTTTAGAACTAGATTCGCAAAAGGTTTTTTTCAGGAAGGAGTGCTTTATCACTGACATTGTTTGGAATGACCGGCACATGGTGATAATAGAAAGCAGACTGACTTCTAGTTGACTTCATTATTGTTTTAAAATTCTCTACAGACTTCCTTATTGCCTTCCCCCGGGCAGATTGCTTCCCTTGCCCAGCCTTTGGTACACCACTGCATCCAGCTATTGTGGTGGTGGGAACAAAGGGTGGGTGTCAAGATATCACATAAAATAGACAAAGGCTTTATGCGCACATTCTGAGTTTCAGGGGCTGTACTCAAGAGGGCATCAAGCATCAGGCACCACCTCCGTGTGGTGACTATTACATTTTCCTTTTTAGCTGCTTACCATTAAACACACACACACACACACACACACACACACACACACACACACACACTATACATTTCATCCCATATGTCCCAAGATGCTCCTGTTCAACATTACCTGACAACCACACATTCAATGAACTATCATGCAAAATCACACCAACTACTTAATACAAGGTTACACCACACAGCCATTGTCTTCTAAATCCGGACAGCTGGGTAATCATCATTCCTTTTTTAGTTATATTGAGATCCCATCTGATATTCATCAGGTTATGGATTACTTTGTAAATGAAACCACTAATAACACACCCTATCCTCAAAATCTATGCCAACACAATATCCACAGTCTTAATGATATTCCTTAGCTAGTCTCTGTGTATAACTTCTTTCTTCTCTGCACTGATTCTACATAACGCCTATCCAGTCCACAAAGAGTTCAAATGCTGGCCATACAGTGTGCATGGCTGAACATTAGAGCCCAGTGGGCTAAACTGTTAGTTTCCTCTGGTCGGTGGGAATGGGGGTGCAATGCAGGAATATATCAGAGAGGCTTGAAGGCCTAGGTTTCCCCATTCCTCTGACTCCTCCCATATATCTCAATTTCCATCACTAGGATTTTACTCTTTCCTAATCGTGTTGTATCTCCATATGAAACCTAGTTTATACATGCAAGTGGAGGTATAATTCAATAGCTTGAAACATCAATTTCTGAACTTGATTTTTTGTGATTTCAGGCTAGTAGCTAGTGGGATCGTATTACAATCTTGACTTTGATTTTACACCTGTAGGAGAGACTTATAGGACTAAGTTTGCTGTTCTCTTACATTAGGTTTTCCTGAAGCACTCAAAACAGCCATGTAACCTGTGGTCTCAACTTTTCTTATTTCTTTCAAATTGCTTATGGTGCCAGCTACTGGGTCCTCCAAAACCTTTTTTCCAGTTCCCAGTTGACCACAAGAAATTCATTTATTGCTGTTTTGCTACTTTTTAGCAAGCGTTGCTAATTTTACATCTTCAAATCTAGGATAGAGCCCTCCTTCACATCCACCCCATTACAATAAAATGACCCATTACATTTTTCTTGACGGCCTAGAATTCACAGCATGCTCTCCAGAAACAATTCATAAATTATTTAATTTTCTTCTTATTTGAAAACATTAGATACTGACTGTAGCTGGTTTTGGCAAAAAATAATAGGGGAAGACATTTATTGGAAAAATACAGGCTAGGCACAGTGGCTTACACCTGGAAACGCAGTACTTTGAGTTGCCAAGGCAGGAAAATCACTTGAGGCCAATAGTTTGAGACCAGCTGGGTAACATAGCAAGACCCTGTCTCTACAAAATAAGAAATAAAAAAAAAATTATCTAAGCATGGTGGCGTGCACCTGTAGTTTCAGCTATGTGCTACTTGAGAGGCTGAGGCAGTAATTTCACTGGAGCCCAGGAGCTTGAGGTTATAGTGAGCTATGACTTGTGCCATTGCACTCTACCCTGGGTGACAGAGAGAGATGCTATCTCTAAAAAAAGAAATACTGGGGCACCTGTAGAGGGCAAATTATTGAAAAAGCAACTAAACTGTGGGAAGGACAGACACCAGGGTCATGCTAAAGGCCTTAGTAGTGGGAATTTGTGATCCTTCTGCCTGGAACCCTGCTAGTAATATGAATCAGCCTCAATGAAAATCAGGTTTTAGTATTTCTCAGGATAGAATTTGAAGTTGGCCCAGTTTAGAATTGGTGTCTGACTATGGCCAAAGCAGGGTTACGCAGTAGAGAAAAGGTCTGCTGGGGGTGGGGGGGAGTGGAGGTAGGGGTGCAGTGTATGTATCAGTGATTGTACCAAGAGAAAGGGCAGTTCTTGTGAGACAGGCAGCTTCTGCAACAAGTATCCACTTCAGTTTGGGGGATGAAGGTTGCTTCCTCGGCTTCCTTCATTGCCTTTTGTCCTGCAATGTTTACTGCTGTCTGTACACACTAGGACTCCCTCAATAGTGCCGACTGACTGATTAAAACATTCGTTATCTAAAAACAGGAGATTATTAGACTAGGTTCAGGACCAACATGGCTTTTGGATAGGAAGATACTGGTGATTTGGTAAAGGAAAAAAGAAAACAAGTAGTTGATTCTAAAATCCGGAAGGGAGAATTTTTTAAAAAGTTATCAATTTGTATGACTCTGAGGATTTTCCTGGTATCCTTAGCTCCCAAAGAGCTCCCTGGTCTCTGAACTTCCACTCTTCCCACCCACATTGCTCATCTGACTCTGAACGTGGTTATCTGCCTGGCCCTATACACCCCTACACAGAATTTCCATCTCCCAAACCCCACCACGAGATTCCCAAAGATAGACTCCATGTCTTACATTTCATTTTTTGAGATTCTTAATATATTTTAGTATCAGTTAGGGCAAGTTTTGTATTTCCTGGCCTCTTGATGCTCCATTTGTACAAGCTTATTTTCACAGGGGACTTTTAGACTCTCTTTATCATATTAGCATATCCTTACAGTTTTCTGTATCTCCAGTATCAAACTGTTATCCCCTCATACACTAAACAGGTAATGAATGTACTTTGATGAGGACAGTGTGATAAGCCGTACAGAGGGGTTTGTCATAGGCATAAATGGGAGAATTAAGTTTTCCTATTCACACCTTTTTAACTTAAAAAATGTTAACTTGGCATAGCAATGACTGTAAAATGGATATTTTGTTTAGAACAAGATTTAAATCATTGCACAGGTAGAATTTGCTCTATTTTTTATTTCCCATTAATAAACACTTATCAATTTCCTCCTCCCCTCCTCTCCCCTCCCCTCTCTCCTCCCTTCTCCTCCCCTCTCTTCCCCTCCCCTCCCCTCCTGTCCCCTCCTTTCCCCTCCCCTCCCCTCCCTTTCCTTCCCTTCTCTTCTTTAGTATTGCTCTGTTGCCCAGGCTGGAGTGGTGTAGTGGTGTGATCTCAGGTCACTGCAACATCCACCTTTTCAATTCTAGCGATTTTCTTGCCTCAGGCTACCGAGTAGCTAGGACTGTAGATGCATGCCACTGTACCTG